GGTTGTTTCATAAAATCTCAACTTATCCCAACCTACTTCATTGCATGAAGATAGATAAAAATTTTGAATGTTTCGAACAAAGGCAACCTTGACTTCTTGATGCTCACATAGAATATTGGCAGATTAGCAAGAGGCTGAGATTAGCAAGTTGGGTAACATTTCGAGCAGGGGAATAAATCAAAACCTAACACAAATTTGATAATGTATTGATAAGAATAATATTTTGAAATCCCAAATAGAATATATGGCATTATTATCATTTTTTTAATTAAAAGCATACAAAGAAATTGAAGTGCTAATTGTTGAAAAACTGACAAAGGACTGAAGGAGCTCACATAAATAAAATCTTGGAAAATATAATTTTTCATAGAGAAAATCTCAAGTACGGAAATTTGGAAGAAATAATATGTGTTTTGAATCTTTAACACGGCACGGAGAATTTAAAGGAGACGGAATGATTGCTGTAAAAATAAGGGTTTCAAAGGTTTTAACCTTTCACTTTTAACCCGGCAAAATTGAGAGCGGGTCACGTGTTTCATCATTCGGTTGATTGGATTTTTGGGAGGTTTTTGATTAAAAGTTTTAACTTTTATAAGCCAAATCAGACTGATTTTGGGTTTGGTTCCCAATTTTCCCGGTAAAATCGATATGGTCGATCCGATTTTTGAAAAAATGGTTATATAACACGATACTCAGATACATTTTACTTAATCTAAAATAGCATATTTGATGAAATAAAACACATTCGTACTATGACTATATGAGTACTGCAAATAAATGTCAAGACAATTTTTAATTTTCTTTTTTCCTTTTTAAATTATTTATGGGATCTGATTCCTCGATCTTTCTTGATGGTAATAAGATTGTGGATTCATGATAGGACATAGAAAGTGATGAGAATTTTAGACAACCTTTTTTTAAAATTGAAGATGCTGGCTGTTTCCCATCACACCATAATTTATTTAATTTAATATAATTTTTTCTCTGTCCCCAATTATTTTTCAATTACAGTAAATAAACAGCTACAATACAGCTAATTTAACCACTACAATTGGTAGCGTCCCAAAGAAATTAGATTCAAAGACCCTTCTAGTAGATCATGTTGCAGTCGAAGAGTGGTGCTAATTCAAGAGTGGGGGTCTCGAATCTATTCAGAAATTAGAGACTAAGAAAATTGAGTGTTTTGTTCTCTCTCAATTTTATTTTGCTTGGCTTAAATATTAGGCTATCATAATCATAATGAAATCGTGTTGCTTGTGTAATTGGATAACCAGAACAGAGAACTCTTCATTGCTTTGTTGGTACATCAATAATAGTAAATCTTAAATGAACATTCACAATAAAATGTAGACAGAAGTTTCGTATAGATCTATTGAATCCTCTTCTAGGTTGCTCTAAACAAGATCGCAAACTTTTAAGGTCCGTTTCACTTCTCAAATACACCAATAATTTAGGCATCGAAGTGTTTCTAACCGGCCCTCCACCATCTCTTTTGACCAAATTTTCTAGATCTGGTTGAGTGTGCAAAATTGGGAATACAGATTTAGCTCAAAATCATGTCAGCACAAAATCTCAGCCAGATTTAGACGTCTACATATCTCATGATTATTCAGATTTAGAAAATTTTTATACATTGTTGATGATGTCTACTACTTGATAAACTTAAAATGAAGGACTTCAAACCTTGAATGTGTCTTTTTTTTTTTTTTTTAACAAATTAACTACATGGATAGGTCAGAGCATAGTGGACTGCAAGTTTTCTCCAATCATGGCCTCGCGTAGTTGCTAATTTTTTTTAGTACAGCTTGTTGGAAGTTTTGACTCAAATTAATTGATTTGTATTAAATAAAAATGAATGATGGAAGATAGTTATTTTTCTTTTCTTTTTTTTTTTTTGGGTAAAAATCATCAAGTTCGGTAGCATTTTGAGGTTCTACCAAAGCACTAAATAGGGAGTTTGGCATTGCCTCTACTCAATATATTATCAAAGAGATGTTCACAAACAAGGAAGGGACATGAAAACGCTTTTCTCCTTAAGTACATGGGGAATTAGAGGAATGTAGCTTACCATTGCACTTATTGTTCAAAATGATAATAATGGTGATTTTGTTTTTGGGCCACATGTTGGGCCTTATTCTGGATGAGTCAAGTGAATGCATATAAAGTGAAAAATGGAGGCATTTTTTGCCCATGCCATCAGATGGCTCGAGGGTATGAAAACTAGCCGTTATGGCTTGTTTTCTGGTTTGTTTCTGGTGTCTTTTGATGAATGTATTCAACCTTTCATGAATGATTG